ATATCTTTTTACCCTTAAGAAAATTTCTTATCACATAACTCTAATATGAATAATTCTTTCCATGAAACTTAACTTTGATACCATATTAAACAATTTAAAGAAATAAAGAAAAAGATGAAGAGGCTAAGGTTTCATTGATTCTGCGTAATGCAATTGAATACAAAAAGATAATTTAACCTAAATATAAAGAGACTATATATAGGCTAAATAAAAGAAACAGAAAAGACTATTCTACTTTTAATAAACAATAACACAAAATAACCCTATATTTCTTAACAGGAAGGACGTATGAAGCAATGTAACATATTTAACGTCTGAAATATGGTCATAAGGAACGTTACTCTCAACGCAATTGCCTTGTTGCAATATTATGCCACAAGTGAATTGTATTGTATACGAGTAATATAAAATGAGTAGAGCGTTGAACTCAAAATGACTAATTATCTACTTATTAACATTAATAAAAACTAGCTCTTATTCGAAATAAGAAATTAATTATTTAAATTTGATTTTAATTACATCTAATTATCAACTAAAAATAATCAGTTAAAAATAAGTAAACAAGTTTCAGAATTTTGTAAGTCACGGGATCCTGAATTCACCATTGTTAACTTACTTTAATCCTCAGAACCCGAATTCACCTTTGTTTAGTGGCATATCTACTATGTCCACGACTACTAAACTTGTAGCACGTGATTGCTACTTGCAAAATAGAATGGTGATAACTCCATCCTTGGTAAAATTATTGTGATTTGGGCTGAAGAAGTGGTTATACATGCCTTGAGTATCTCAAAATTTAGGTGTTTAGAATATTGATGAAAAAGAGATGAAGAGGAGTTACTGTCTAGTTTTCGAAGTATTGTGCTTATTTTCACTTTGACTCGTCAGTAGGGGACGGATCCAACACTTGGCGAGCTGACACGGCCTCTCATGTTGGATCCGTTGAAAAAAATGATCAATAAATGTTGTGTGTGTGTGTGTTATTGTACCTAATTCTACAGATCATATTGATGGCATTCACTTTTGCACTTGAAATACAAGGGTTTGATCCTTCAATGGCACTCTTCCTTTTTATTTTTAAACACAGTAAATAATAATTAAATATTTACTAATAATTGTACTAACTTTCAACAAAAGGGAGTGTAGCTCATATGATAGAGAGGTCACTTTGTATGTGAGAGGTATTTAATGCACTTTCACTTTTTTATTTTATTTTTTAATACAATAAATATTAACTAAACAATTATATATTATTAGTTTTCGTTTTCCAAATAATTTCTTTAAAAAATTTATTTACTCAAATTATTACTTCATAATATATGAATTTTTACTGTTAGATTTTATTAATTTATTT